GAACAGACACGTGATCAAACCGGTTTTTAAACAGGTTATGGTTCAGACACAACATTTTCTTGTTTTACGTTTTAACTTCGACAACGAGAGAAACTGAGGCTGTGTTTCCATGAGCGGTCAGTTCACACACACACACACACACACACACAGTAATATGCACAGTGTGTGTGTGCGTGTGAGAGAGAGAGTGTGTGTGTCAGGATTTGTTATCTAAATGGAAACGACAGTAGGAAACGTCTGTACTAGCTTTATTGATTCCCCAGAGGAAACTAACCAGAGACCAAAAACACAAAACGCACGGTTCCATCGTCAGAGCGAGAGAATCAATAACACACACGCCGACGTAAAAGATCTAGTTCCACCACAACAATAAGAGTCAGTGACACGAGTACAGTCATCTCCACGCTGCAGGTTTGTCACTGAGCCACCATGGAAACAGACCAGAGCAGGAATCCCCTCGTGCAGTGACTTGACGTTGTCCATCAGTGTTTCTCTGAATAAAGCTGCAGGTGATGATCTGGACTCACAACAGATAAACTTCTAAAGTTTCTCAACCTCGGACGTGCAACATGTTCAGAAATCCACAAAGTGAATGATGCAGACGACCACGTAACAAATTAGACTTAAAAATACTTTGATTACAGAAAAACTGAAATATCTGAAGAGCTTCTGTGAGGTGATGACTTCTTCTCTCCATCTTATTGACCACAGGGTTTTCTTCTGGACCTCCGCTGACGGAAGTTCACTGTAAACTGAGCTGATGAAGAGGAGAGGAACCATAGAAGAAGAAGAAAGAGGTGGACTGACCAGCAGCCATGTTACAGGTAGTTCTCCACAGATGTTTGACCATCAGGCTGCTCACAGTACTTCACAGTACTTCACAGTACTTCACTGTACTTCACAGTACTTCACAGTGTGTTTTGACCTTGTCTGTATAAATTGATTTTTCACGATGTGACTGCAGAGTCGAAACACAAACACTGAGACGTTTCTATCATAACAGAGTTTGTTGACTCGGAGGATTAGTGTGATGTCACAGCCGCCGTGAATCAGTAACTTTTTGTTTGAGCCGACACGAGAGGCCGACGACACACGAACATCGGTGAGATGAGAACGAGCTAAAATGACAGAAACAATCTTTCAGGAATGTACTTTGATTTTCTTTAGTTTGGTCCATGTCCCATCCGCTGACATGGAGGAGGTTCACAATGTATAGTAGAGACAGACACAGAGGAAAGTTGTGATATAATGAGAATAAAGATTCAAGCAGCTCTGGAGTTTCACTAATCTCACTGTTTCTGGAGAAAATAAAAAACCTCTCTGTCTCTTGTTTCATATTGGAAATGTCTTTTAAATGCTAATACTTCACCACAGACAAGAGACTAATGGACACCAGTCACATTTGTCTCCCAGAGACCAAACACTGAGCTACAAGGAGAATTTGTGCACATTAGACTCAATCATTTGAACCAATGAGACTCAAAGTAAACTGAGTATATAGAAATAAAACAACGTGGTACACGTCCCTTCATAATAAAAGTCTTTGATTCCATACCTGGTGCCATGTTGACACTTTGTGTGTCTCTGGTTTAACCCCATGACGCACGGAGACACGTCTCCATATGTGCTGTCCCGCTCTCACCCCCCCCCCCGCTGAAAATTGATGGAGGGTCTGAGGTGGTTTGGTTCTGGTTAGTGATGTCAGAGGGGTGTATGACACAGCCCTCAGCCTCCACCAATGGAAGTATTGGCAGCGTTCGACACCCATTTTTGAGGTATTGTGCTATAAAACCAGCTCCGTGCATCCTCCGGCTCCACTTCATTCCAACTAATTAATCTGCTGCTGCTGCTTTTTGGACCAAACTCTGTGGTGAATATTTACTGAGGTCAGTGACTTTTATCATTTCAGTTCATCAGAACCTTAATGTCATGAAAGATGATGCAGTTATGGGATGTCTGAGTGTATTCATGTGCAGCCTCCTGGTGTCTCTGGCTCTTCTGTTTTCACGAGAAGTTAAATATTCGTCAAGTTCATTTGTTTTGCACCAGAATCAGTTTGTTGCTTTGACCGTGAACTTCTAGACCACGAGCTCAGTTTATATGGAAAAAATATAATCATGTTATTTATGATGGTAATAAAAAGCATCAGTGATGATAGTCAAAGAAAGTTTGTCCCTAGTTTGAATCTGTGTATAAAAGATATTGACGTTGTATTATAACGTATATGAATCTGAAATGATGTTGGGACTATTCAAATAAAACAATTCAACAATTACTCTCTGAGCAGGATTTTCAAGCCTGTAAATGAGAATATTTGAATTAATCTTTAGGTTTTATCTAAAGTTTGAGGCTTTTTAAAATGTTTTCAGTGCATCAGCATCAAAGAGAGAATTACATGATCTGATTTTAAGTAAATCACGTAAAACCACACTGTCTGCATGAAATCAAATATAATGAGGAATGTTAAGATTACAGAATCGTTAGAAACTAAAGGTTTTGTGCCAAAAATAAAAACTGCTCACGTCACTTATTTTAAAGGCTTTATAGAGTATTCGAGGTAGTTTTGGTTAATCTCATTAGTGTAGTGGAGCAATTCTATGTTAAGTACAGAGCTGCTGAAGTTAATGTTCTTTCCATGGTTGGAAATAAACAGATTCCTGTTCTTCCTCTCAATCCTCCTCCTCAGTTTCAGGATGGATGACAAGTCGTACTTGGTTCAGAGGAATGGGAACGGAGTCCACGGCAAAACCCAGCTCAACGGCAAAACCCTGAGTGGGACCGTGGTCAACGGGCGGGGGGTGCTGGGAAACGGCATCAACCACGTCAGCATGAACGGCAGCTTGTACCCGGCCAAGGTGAAGAGCCGCAGGCAGAGGTGGGAGGTGAAGCCCTCAGAGATGGCCAACAACACGCTCAACCCCATCAGGAGCATCGTGGACGAGATGAAGCTCACACCCAACAGAGACAAACCCATGATCGCTCTCTCTATAGGTGAGAGGGTTTCTGCTTACGGCTAATCTTCTGTTAGAGATGAATCCGATCACGTGTGACGGATCAATTAAGAAGAACCAGTTTCACAAGACTGGAGACAAAACTCTGGATGATGGAAAACCAGAGATGAGAGCTTTTACTTGACACTTCTGCTCTCGGATGTGTTCATTTTCTCTTAAAGATCATTCACCATATTTCCTGCACAAATACTTAAAACCTATAATTGTTTGTAGTTTTTTTTTTTACTAACTGTGACTGTCGCTTGCTCCCCAGGGGACCCCACAGTGTTTGGGAACCTGCCCACAGACGAGGTGGTGCTTCAGGCCGTGAAAGACGCCGTGGACTCGCAGAAATACAACGGATATGCTCCCTCTGTTGGTGAGTCGCTCCGACTGAACCTGCACACAAGAGAACGTTAATTGTCCTGAACCCTCGAGCCCTGACGCATGAAGTTGAAATATGAGATAACGTAGTTTTACAACCACAAACATGATTTTAATAGTGCTTGTTGAGAAACTTAGGGCTCAGAAATCCTCTGAAATGATTGACCGTGATGTCCTTCTAAACTGTCGTGTCTCTGTTTGCATGTGTTCACCTGCAGGTTATCTGACAAGTCGACAGGCCTTGGCAAACTTTTACAGCTGCCCCGAGGCTCCACTGGAGGCCGAGGTGCCGTCCCTCTATCCTCACCCCCTCTTTAAATCATGTTCTCTCAGGAAACCCAATGACACCGTGTGTTTCAGAGTCTTTGTTCTGAAAAGTGAATGTTCTCTTTCAGGATGTGATTCTGACCAGCGGCTGCAGTCATGCCATTGACCTGGCTATCAGTGTCCTGTGTAACCCTGGGGACAACATCCTGGTCCCTTGCCCGGGCTTCTCATTATATAAGACTCTGGCCGTCTCCATGGGCATCAACGTCAAACTCTACAACCTGCTGGTGAGTGGAGGCAGCGAACAGTCAACAGAGCTGCTGCGAATGCATCAAAACAATGTTGCACCGACGCTGAACTACGTCTGAGCGTCAGGCCGAAGGAAATAGATTCAAGAGTCAAACAAGAAAGTTCTAATATTACGATTTAGTAAATTTTTCTCTTTAATCTCAACACTTTTGCGATTTTATTGCAAATTTAGATTATTTTATATCATATTATATTATTTTATCCTTTATTGGAACTACAATGGGGGGGGGGGTTACTCACAATATAACCTTCATATTTTTTTATATGCGATGGCTCTCATGCACACTCATGCATGTTTGCAACAGAATCCCCGAAATGCATTGAAACAGCTTGGAGCTGCAGGTCCCTGCATCATGTTGTCAGCAGCTGGAGTCTCTGAGCGTCGTTAGGAAGCGTGAACATGCACGGTTCAGTCTCTGACACACTCCGTCTTTGATTTGCAGCCGGAAAAGTCCTGGGAGGCCGACCTGCAGCACATGGAGAGCCTGATCGACGAGAGGACTTCCTGTGTGATTGTTACCAACCCATCCAACCCGTGTGGCTCCGTCTACAGCAAGGAACATCTGCAGAAGATCCTCAAAGGTCCGTCGAAATCTGATCCCTGCTAAATAACAAAACACAACTTCACCCATTTCACCACAATGAAATCCTTTCCTCTGGTTTTCTCAGTGGCCTCCAGACACTGTGTTCCTATTCTGGCCGATGAAATCTACAGCGATATGGTGAGTGTGACCTCACACCGACACACGTCACATCAGCACAGGTCGGCTCGACGCATTTTTCAACACAGCAGCAGCAGCAGCAGCAGCAGCGGAGGTTGTGTAGCGTTGGCTGGTATTTGCTCCGGCTCTGGATGGCGAGGGGACAACCCCACATCAGCACAGCGGGGATTAGGGGCAGTGAGCTGTGAATGAGGCCTGCGAGCAGCAGCCGGCCGTTCTGTTATAACGACGATTTGTCCCAGGAGAGATTTTATCGAATGACGGTTCACGAAATATTGAATATTGACACTTTATTTTGTCGCTGTTCTTTATGGTGGAAGTTATATTTGTCCGGGTTTTGCGGAAAGTGTCTCTGGTGGAGACGCAGCAAACTGTCTGTCAGTTCCACATTAAAAACTTGAATACAACTTTAACAGCTTCAGACATTTAACTAGTTGAGTGTGCGTCACGCCTCCTGCGGGACAATCAACACCAGGGAGCTTGTCTCTGAACGAGACGGTGTAGGTTCCTGTGTGGCGGTGACTTCAGGCTGCAGCCATATAAACATGTTTGAACTGAAAAAGCCTCCGTCCACACGGGCGTTTTGGTTCCACGTCAGTTTTAATCTCAACATTTCACGTGATCACTCATGGAACAGAAATTGCTCGATTTAATTTCTTGTCTCCTACAAACAAACCCTCCAGAAAACTTTCTGATCAGCCTGAAGTGAAAAGAAAAGACAGAGATTTAGACGTAAAAACACCAGGATGTTGTTCATGAGGTAGAGTTTGTACAGTGAACTTCTGGTGGAGCAGGACAGAGCAAATTAAAAAGTCTGTGTTTACTCTCTGAGTACAACTTCTCTCTTTAACTATCGTTTAAAGCACTTTTGTCCTCGGCTGTCTGTCCAAACATGAAAGTGACCAAACCAAAGATCCAAAAAAAGAAAGACCAGCGTCAGCAAATTCAATCTAAAACAGGGACGTCAGTGTCGGCCTTGAATAGTTTGTACTGGTCAAACTTTCTGGTCGTGCAAACATGTGCACACACACACACACACACACACACACACGAACACAGGCAGGTGAAAAGTTTGCCGGCTCATTAAAAAGTGAACAAAAGGTCAGAGTTGAATCCAGTAGTTTTCCACTTGAATCCGTTGTGATAAAGACTAAATGTGGATCATGTCCATGTGTTAATATCAAATGACTCATCAGCAGTCTGATGTTGAAATGGACGAGTACAGATTTGATACGTTCATTCATCAAAGACTTTATTAAGATGAGAGAAGATGAACTTCATTGATTCCACATCGAGGAACTTCACTCGTTACGGCAGCAGAACGTCAGAAGAGCAAGTTATTAGAACGAGAGAGCAGGAGGGTGAGAATCTGAAGGAAAACACAAAGTCCACAGTTTTAGAATAAATAAAAAAGACTGTAGAACTAGAGAAAAGTTCAAAAACGTGTCTCTGCACACTGCAAACATACGGAACCAGAACAACGTGGTGGTTCCACCCGGGAACTTGTCTTTGTTTCTCTCTTGCTTGTGAAGTTTAATTCCACAGAAAAACGTAGACGTAGAAGAGGACGTAACCCCTCCCCCCCCCCCAACAATCCTCTGCTGGTAAAAACTTTCAAATCAGGTTTCATCGCTGCTTGGTTCATTTCGAGGGTTGAGACGTTGTCGTTATAGCAACGCGACGCCCCCTTCTTCTCATTGGGTGAAGCGTGGCCTATATGATGTCAGTTTAAAAGCTGGTGTGTCCTTATGTAAGCAGGAGACACAGGGTTGGTATGTCCACACGCTCAGCATCACGCGTGTTAAACCAAACAAGCTGTTTCTACTGAGGATGAACTTCACACGAGACACCGACCACATATACACTCTCACAGTCTCCGGCCTGCAGCGTGAACACAAATGCTTTTTTGCAGGTTTACATTTAAATTGTGTCGTAGCAGCTGGTGTGAGTGGAAAAGTTTAGAACCGGGGTTGTTGGGTGCATCCAGAGACCCCTCCCCCCCCCCCCCCCCCCCCCCCACCCCCACACCTCCATCGCCATCTGACTCTTTCACATTGAACCGAGCGGAGCACAATGACTCAGCACTTTTTCTGGCTACATGTGGTTGCACTTAATCCTGGTGATGGGTTTTTGGAACGAGGGGAACATGCAGGGAGGAGTCGAGGGGCGTGTGGGGGGCGGAGAGGCGGTTGAAGAGGGGATTGGTGGTGGCGGGAACGTGGAGGCGTTTCTTTTATGGCTGGAGCGAGGGGCCTGCACGTCCACGAGCTGACCCCCTCCCTCCCCTCCAACCCTCAGCAGCTCACTGTGAGGTTCTTACAGATATTGTTTGAGAGTTACACCTCCATCACTCCGTCCGTTCTCCAATTCTCCATCCGTTCTCCAATTCTCCATAATTCTCCCACTTTTCTTCCAGCTGTGTTTTTTTATTCTCAGTAAATTTCCTCCACACTCTCGTTTCTCGACCTTCAGGCTCCAGCTGATCTTCTTATGATTCCTTTCTTACCTGCTATCAGCTGACCAGGTACCCATCCCCCATCCTCTCTCTGAAGTTAAATTGTACGATAAAGACCTTCGTCATATTTTAGTGTCTTTCGTTTCACCATATTCACTTTTTACATTTTTATAGTTTAACACAAATATTAGAGAGACTCAAATTTATATATACATATAAAAGTAAAATGAGCACAATGGAGAACTACAGGAAACTATACAGTGGAGCTGCTACTTAAGAAACTCAAGCAGATTTATGTACCAGTACACGAAATATGTAAAAATGACGAGTATTAAAAGTATGACGTTTACAAAGATGACTCATTAGTAAAACATCGCAAAGAGGAAATCAAACCTTGAACCAAATTTAAAATTCTTACGCTTCATCTAATTTTTTCGTTTTCACTCTGAGCCTGATGTTCTCGAGCTCTGAGACTGGAGGAGTGAGTGAGTTCAGCTTCAAGTCAGACTTCGAGGGTTCGTGCTGTTTTACATTTGGCAGCCGTCTGACCAGTTGGACGTGGCTCGGCTCCTGCCTCAGTGTCCAAGACTATAATGAGAAGCAGCTTTCTGTGGGTGGAGTGAGGTTACTGCACCATCACCCGCTCTCTCTCTCTCTCTCTCTCTCTCTCTCTCTCTCTCTCTCTCTCGGTTTCGTGTCCGGTAGAAATATCAAACAATCCCCAAGATTCAAACTGATCAATTAATTTGTGTTTAAGTTATGTTTCATAAAGAAATTATAAAAGATCGATGACTTTTCTTAAACACTATGATTCTTCACTTGTGTCACGGTGAGTTGACGTTCTGCTCAGTTCGTCACATTGGAAACTGAAAGGAGAAACATTCTGCTCATATTCAGGTTAATGTTTTCAATCAGTGCTCGACTGTTCAGAAAACTCTGTCCTTCGCTGCAGCTCCTCTTTTCAGCCTCTGTCTCAAACACTTGGTTTTAGCTCCTGTCTCTTTAAGACCCTCCCCCCAGTCTGCTCTGATTGGCCAGTTGGCGTCACTCTGTTGTGATTGGTCGACCCCTCCCAGCTGTGTAGGGAATGTCGGCCTCCGCTCTTGCGTCAACTTTGTGTTTGCGGTTTGTTCCATTGTCCAGAAAAGTAAATTTGTGTTTTATCCATTCAAAGTGATTTGATATTAATGTTTGATAAAGTTTTTTCTGCTGTTGGTTCCTCGGTGTGATGGATCCTGGATGACGTCATGAACGTACTCTATTGTTCCGCCTCCTTCAGGTGTTACCAGGTTGCAGCTGTCCTTCCATGGCGTCGCTCAGCAGTGACGTCCCCATCATTTCCTGCGGGGGTCTCGCAAAACGCTGGCTGGTCCCCGGGTGGAGGATGGGATGGATCCTGATCCATGACAGAAATGATATATTTGGATCTGCAGTACGTAACAAAACACACACACTGACACACACACTGACACACACACACACACTCATCACACATGTGTCTCGTCTGCAGATCCGTCAGGGGCTGGTGAAACTGAGCCAACGTATTCTGGGAGCCTGCAGTCTTATCCAGGGGGCGCTGGAGAGCATCCTCAATAACACACCTCAAAGCTTCTACAACAACACCATCAGCTTACTAAAGGTACATCTGAGGATTCAGTAATATTCTTTGATTTATGTTTAAACGTCTAAATCGAGATATATTTAATCACGCTACATGTCCTCAAGGTGCATTATGGGCATTTGATGATTTCTCTTTGTCTCCTCAGTCTAACTCAGAGATCTGTTTCAACAAGCTGTCCACTGTCGCCGGCCTGAATCCCGTCAAGACGTCAGGAGCCATGTACCTCATGGTCAGTAACATCTGGACGCCATGTGTATAGGTTTGATGTCACAATGAATATTTTACATGTGACGTTTTCTCGTCTCAGAGAGAATAATGTCTAATGTGGCTCAGCAGGGAGAACGACAGGTTTCTAGTCTACGCATTTTAACGCACAACCTGTTGAAGTCAGAAACACGTGGACATTAACACGACAGAAACCAATCACTATTAAATCACATTACAAAATGTTGGTTTCTTGCACGTGCCCACAATTTCCTGGGACTGTTCAAAATCAAAGATGGAAGCCAAACTTTAATAAGTTAAGAGAAATAACACTGAGCTTAATGAATATGTAATTCTGAGGAATTCATTATTATTTTAATTTAAACTGATGAGTATAGTTCATACTTCAAACAGTTTTGTTCTTTGTTATTGTGTAGAATGTTATTATATAAGTGTGTGTGTGTGTGTGTGTGTGTCCAGGTGGGGATGGACATGGATCACTTTCCAGAGTTTAAGAACGACGTGGACTTCACTGAACGTCTGGTCACTGAACAGTCTGTCTTCTGTCTCCCTGCCTCTGTAAGTCACGTCCACCTCTTTGTCCCGACAGTGTCAAAATAAAAGCTGTCATCGTGTTGAGTGCACGTTCTCTCCTCCCGCAGGCTTTTGAGTATCCCAACTTCTTCCGCATCGTGTTGACGGTGCCGCAGGAGATGATGGTGGAGGCCTGCGGTCGGATCAGGGAGTTCTGCCAGTGCCACTATCGGCCCAACAGCCGCGATAGTGGCAACGACCTGGACCAGTGATGGAGCCAAAGACCAGAGAGGCAGCGAGGACTGAACTGTGGTCACACACACACTCATGAGCCTGAACATCATTTAATTCAAACCACAGACTGAGGCTCATCATGAAAACTAAGAAAATCAAAGGCTCAGTTGTCTGATCAGAAATCTCCCTAAAATCTTTCATGAAGACTGAGGTGAATAAATCCACACGAGTATGAAATGTAAACGGAGGAAATCTCCCGTTCACTCTCCGTCTGATTCATTCCAGATGTTTACGTGCTCCATTGTTACGACATAATCACTTCCTGTGTGTGTTTATCCCTCCACATGAATCTGATGTCAGATCTGTTTTGATATTGTCGTCACCGTGGCAACAAGAAGCCGGTGAGCAGCGAGTCTGATGTTCCATTCATGCTGTAATTCTTTATGTAAACCTTTGAAATGATGAAACTTAATATTTATATTTTATATGAGCGACGTATATTAACCTCCTGGTTTTTGTGTATTTATATAATTTGTGATGGAACCTCGTTGAAACCCACCGCAGGATCAGAACAGCTCGATTCTTCTTCACCTTTTTTACATTTGTCTTTTCATCACTTTCTGATCCATAATTAGAGGAATTATTTTATATAGATATAAATATATGTACGATATTCCTTTTTATAAACATTATGTTTCTATAATCTTCTGTAAACTTGCTTGAAAATGACTCACAACGTTAGACTCTTGATCAGAACTTTGTCTGTATATTATTTGTATGTTAATTGTGTCATATTTAGAAGTTGTGTTGATAGTTGCTTAATGAAATAAAAGTGTTGACATGACTGGTGTTGATTGATATGAGAAAAGATCATCAGAGAATTTTTAATATTAAAAATAATGAAATTATAATGTGCCAGCGGCGAGGAAGGAGTTTTTATGGACATCTTCAGATGCAGAAGTTTTCCCTGGGCACGGTTTACTTCACGTCTTTGTGTAAATGAGAACAAACTTCCAAAGAGAAAGTAATTTCATCCTCCTGAGTGTTCACACATGTTGCTGGAGGGGGCCCGGGATGAGAGGAAGTGTGTGGATCCATATGTGTTCGGTCACGTGTGCAGTTACATAAGAATCAGATACTCCAGGGTCATAAAAACACTTCTCAGTCTCACTTCAAACCACTCGGCTCGTTACGTCTTCTTCTACATGTCTCGTTTAATGTCGTTAAACTTTCACCCACCTGAAAATTTAAAAGAATGACATAATACTTAAAGAAGTGAGAAGTAGGCGATCATGTGATTGTTTGCGTTGGTGGAGGTAATCTCTCGACTGACTCACACTCCAGTTACAATAATTATAATAATTATCACCACAGACCAAATGATGCACAAGGAATGTCAGTCCAGTCTTTAATGGTTGCAAACGGTCTGTAAATGTTTCTCTGGCTCCTGAACCTCAGCCGCAAAACAAACGGTGCTGAATAACAGCATCAAACAATGATCTTACACTTGTGACAAATAATATCTAAAAAACTATTCATCAAATGGCGAAATACTGAAGTACAGTTACTGTCAAATATATCAAACACAGTTAATCATGTAGCTGCAGAAGTTTTTAAAGTATTTATTGTGTTACCGTTTTTCTCTTTCCTGGAAATCGTTTGTGTTTTAGCTGCGTAACACAGTGATACAACAGCACCATCTAATGGTGAACTGGAGACATTACAGCGGATTCTACTTCTCTTCACAGTGTGTGTGTGTGTGTGTGTGTGTGTGTGTGTGTGTGTGTGTGTGTGTCACCCCTATGCTGCTAACTAAAGTGACCTTTGCAACAAGCTCCTCCTGACTTACTGAGTATACATGTAAATACTGTGTGTGCTGGTGAAGTTCTTTGGGTTGTTGTCCAATTATTAACTTCTGCACTGATAAGAGCGGGGGGGNGGGGGGGACTATGAAGAAAAAGGGAGTGGGTTAAGAAGAGAAGTGCACAAAATAGAGAAGAAGCAGAATCAGCAAAGAAAAAGGAAGGAAGAGAAGAGGAAGCTCTGAGTGCTGAGGTCCTCGTTTGGTTGTGTTGTGAAATGTTCTCTGTGGACATGGAAGACACGCAGGTGTCCCGGACCTTGGAGCTGAATGACGGCTCACACATGCCTGTTCTGGGTCTGGGGACGTGGAAGGTAGCGTCGCACACTCCTTCTTATATCTGTTTTCATCCGTCATCACTTTGTTCTCCTGCACATTTTTCTTTTCAGTGTCAGTGGTGTTTTTCTCTGAGCTGAACTTTGGTCAGCAGATTATTTGGTGGATGAAGTCTGTCCAATGAGGTCATAATCATTAAAAGATTATTATAGTCTTTATATGCATCCACCTGCAGGCTGCAGGGCTGTAGAACTGGTTTATATAGAGCTTATATAGAACTGTATAGAACTGCAATACGTACATTTACTGTCAAACGTTTTGACGCTCAGAAAACCTCACTGTCCTCAGACTGACCATCGCTGCAGCTCCTCTTTTCAGCCTCTGTCTCAAACACTTGTATTTAGCTCCTGTCTCTTTAAGCCCCCCCCCCCCCCTCCTGATGAAGCTCATTCTCCTCTGATTGGCCAGCTGGTCCGCTGTGTTGTGATTGGTCAACCAGCCTTTCTCCAGCCGGCCCCCAAAAAATAAAATTCTGCAGAGGGCCGAATTTAATATAACGTGGTGTCGGAAATTCAGCAGTTAACAAGATTTTAAACAAAAGTGACTGAGTTGTTAAGAAAATAACCAAACCTGTGAAACTGATGAGAATAAACATCGAATGAATCTAAATGAATGTGTGATGATGACGGACTTTAGTGTTTGTGTATCTGTAAATAACAAACAGAATGTAAATGTGCTGTCATGTTAAAATGCTGATTCGTGCATATTTTATAGTTTTACTGCAGGTATCAATTATCAATGAAAATAATTCTGGAGCTTTGGGAGCTAGTTAGCTTAGCATGAATGGATGATTGCCAGCTAGCCTAGCTGCTGCAGCACCCTGTGTTTACTAAATCAGGTGAACTTATGAGACTTCTGGTGTTTGGACTTTTGATTTGTGGCACAGATTCAGTTTGTGTTTGGTTTTGTGTCACTCTTCTGTTAGTTTGAAACCTGGTCTCACTTCACCTCCTGGTGTTTCCTGAGTGTGTCCTCTTCCTTTGGCTCTTGTTTCCCTCCTGTTCCTCAGTTCACCTTGTTTCCTTCCTATTCAGCGTCTCACTTTGTGTTTTCACTCCCGTCTGACTTTTTATTTAACCAAATGTTTTATTTGAAAGATTTTCATGATTCTGCATTAACCGTCTTTACTGAACTCCATATTCCCTTGATGAACAGTTTGTAACAGAAGTGAAGCCGTTCATGCTTTTAATGTCTTTTACTTTTCGCAGTCCTCCCACCTTCCTCCCACCTCAGTCCAGGGCGCGGTGGAGGCGGCCATCGCTGCAGGCTACCGCCACATCGACACGGCCTTTATGTACAACAACGAGGTGGATATCGGCAAAGCTCTGCGCTCCAAGATGCAGCAGGGCATCATCAGGAGACAGGACATGTTCATCGTCAGCAAGGTGAGTGCTGAGTATCTTAAAATATGATTACATCACTTCCTGTTTTACTTGTTTTTAAGAATATGAATACTTCAAGTGAGTTCTTACATATTGGGTTTATTTTATTTTATTTCCAGCTATGGCTTACCCACCATGCTGCAGAGGACATCCCTGCGTGTCTGAACAAATCGCTGAACGATCTCCAGCTCGACTACCTGGATCTTTACCTTGTGCATTTCCCTGTCGGCCTGAAGGTCAGCATACATATATATATATATATATATATTCCATATATTCAAGGTTTCATTCAATATATTCAAAGGTTTAATTTCCTGAATGGCATGCCATAATATATGTATATATATATAAGGGTCATTTCAGGCCCCATGTGTTTTTGCTAAATAAATGATTAAAATGAAATAAGGACGTGTGTTTCTGCCAACAAGCCTTTTTTTAAAATGTAAATTTCTCCACAGAAAGAGGGTGATGAGCTTTATCCAAAAAAGGACGGAGAGATTCTGACGTCTGACATCGACTACGTGGACGTGTGGAGGGTAAGAACATGTGATCTCTCAGTTTACATTTCTCATCACAGCTCAACCTACCCACCACTTTAAAATGTTACAATACACAGAAACATGAGGAATATATAGATGTAGACAAATGATTATATAAATACTTACCTCTATCTCTATCACAGTGTCACTTTAGTTTATTATCCCAGTGGTAGAAAAGAAAGATTTCGAGTTTTGTTTCCGTAACATAACGTGTGACCTGGTTCCTGGTTGAGCTGAATGAGTCGGCTGCAGTGGCCGGTAGAGGTTCACCGTCGCTGTGTGTTTTCAGGGGATGGAAGCTCTACAGGCCTCAGGGAAGGTGAAGAGCATCGGAGTCTCCAACTTCAACATCCTACAGCTGGAGAGACTTCTTGCTCTGTGTAAGGTGCCGCCTGCTGTCAACCAGGTGCCACCACGAATTCTACCTCAGAAGCTCTTTGTGTGGATCAACACCCACAGATCCTCACCTCTAACTCTCTGTGTCTGCAGGTGGAGCTGCATCCTTACCTGGTGCAGACAGAGATGATGGAGTTCTGTAAATCCAGGAACATCTCTCTGGTCGCCTTCAGCCCCTTTGGTTCACCTGCACGACCTCCAGACATGTGAGACTCACAGCATCACTCTGATGCTCTTTGAAGGCCACAGAGGAGGCGAAGGTTTCCTCGATAACGAGGATGTGATGTTAGAATAAAAGACTTGGTTTGTCTAAGTAAAGTAAAAAAGCTCTGGTGCACAGAACTGCACTTTCTCCTGCTCATATATCAGCTAGTGTCCTTTTTAAAATACTTCAAATATATATTGTATTGTGATGAGTTCATTTATTTGTGTAGTCTTTGTTCAAGCTCCATATACTTGTGTTTTGTGATGCCGACAGAGTGTCATGAATAAAACGATGCTGTGATATAAATATTTATTCTGTCTCAGGTTTCGAGGGGACACTGATCCTCATAAACTCCTGGACGACCCAGTCGTTGCAGAAATTGCCAGAAAGCACAGACGCAGCTCGTCACAGGTCAGTGCAGGTGAACTGTGTGTACATGTACGTGTGTGTGTGTGTGTGTGTATTGCTTTGTCGTTAACAGTAGTGTTGTGTTCTCGCAGGTGTTGCTGAGGTACCACGTACAGCAGGGTGTTGCTGTTATTCCTAAAAGTGACAAACCTCATCGCATCCTTGAAAACACAAAGGTACATTTCGCCGTTGTGGGATTAATAAAGGATCATAAATCTTAAACAGCAAATACAGATGCTGTCACGTAATAAACACCAGTTTACTGACTGACATTGTTAAACCAGCCTCGTTAAAATCCGTTTCCCTGCTGCTGGGTTGTTGTGCAGATCTTTGACTTCAGTCTGTCTGAGGACGACATGAGAGCTCTGAGAGGTCTGGACCGAGGGTGGAGGGCCTTCGTGTTTGAGGAGTAAGTCAACAATAAATCCTCTCTAGCTTCAGTCTCGTGTGCGACGCAGCGACTGACTGTGTGTGTTGTGTTTCTCAGAGTCAAGTCTCATCCGTACTATCCCTTCGTGTGAGGCTGAGACAACAAACTGGATCTAAACTGTCGACCTTCCAGGGATGTGACTTATGCTCATCTTTTACTTTTGTCTTCTAGTTTAATTTGATTTATTTTGATAACGCTGCATTTTTTGCTTAGTCCTTACTCTTACTGCTGCTTTTCTCATCGCTTGCTCAGGAGCTCTGTGACTTTTTGAATTTCCCTCCGGGGGTTAATATATTTCTGAATCTGAATCCATCAGTGACTCGTTTACCTGTTAACTGATGAAATGTGACGACAACTGTGAAGAAAATTCAGTTTACAAATGTGAATGTGAAGAAAATATCGATCAGCTCTCTGTGTTTTCCTGCTCAGAATAAAGTCAAGTGTGTTTCTGTAGAAGATCATTTTTAAATAAAAGCAGTTTGACAGTTAGTGACTATGTTTATTAAACGTTCACAGTTTCTCTTCCGCAGTAACCATGGGAACCAAGGTGGAGCTCAGAAGTCGTGTAAAAGTCGTGGGATTACATTTTAACATTTGTGCAGCTCGTCTGCTCAGTCTCCATGAAGAATAAATACTTCACATTGTTTGTCTCCAGAAACGTCCGTCCCTCCGTCTCTACGATTCCCCGGACAGAGGTGATGGGTTCTATTTAAAACTTCCACCAGATCAGCTCTGGTTCCTGAATCGGTTCAGTTCCAGATTCTTGGAACGTTGCTGCGTCCAGTGAACGAGGCTTCACTTCCCCCGGTCAGAGATTCCTCCTGCGTTACGTTACGAGCTGATTCTATCTGGACAAAAACAAAGTCTTCCCTGTTGTTACACAGGGTTTGATCTTCCTCTCACTCTTTGTCCCATCTTCGTCTTCTCTGGAGAGGATGATGATGATGATGATGATGATGATGATGATGATGTCGAGGGCTTCACGGTGCAGACACATGCCGAGGCCCCTGCGATGCGTTTCGGCAAGTCGGGCCCTCTGGACCACGAACCTTTGTCGGGGTCGTACACCTGCATGGCTCTGGAGAACACCGTGCTCTCCCAGCTGTAGCCCCCAAGCACGTAGATCTTCCCTGCCCACACAGCAAGCCCCGCCTCGCTGTTGGGCAGCAACAACGCTGCCACCCGGGTCCACTGGCCGCTACGCGAGTCGTAGGACTCGACCTGCAGGATGTCGAAGCGCTCAGTGTCCTCGTTGTCGTCGATGCCCCCAATGGCGTAGATGAGGTGGTTGAGGGAGGCCATGCAGTGCCAACCTCGGGCCACGGACATGGCCTGGCGTTCCACCCAAACCTCACCGTCCCGCGACGGATCATAGCTCAGGAAGTCTCTGCGGTACGGGCCGATCTGAAAGTCATGGCCGCCTGAGATGTAGACCATGCCGTGGTGGACCGTCCCAGCGTGGGCATAGGTAATCCTAGAAAACAGGATTTAAAAAAACTTTGAATGCTTCAAGCAGTTAAGTCCGAATGCACCGTGAGCATTCACTGAAAACACTGAACCACTAAAGAGCAGACCCAGCAGGAGGTCGGGTTACCTGGGCAGTTCTGCCACGTAGGACCAGCAGTCCTCAGCCGGACAATAAACCTCCACAGAGGACAGAGCTCCGGTGTCGTTCCTTCCACCAACAGCGATCAGACACTGTCCCACTGTCCCCAGGTAAAAGTCCACTCGCCGCTGGTTCATTGGCGCCCCCTGGAAAAACATCATACGGTCACTGTGTGTTATTCAGGAGGTGATGAACTGAAAGCATTGGGGTCGTCTGGTGAAGTACCCTCGTCCACTGGTTGTGTCGGGGGTCGTATCTGTACAGGAGGTTACAGGCAGCATCTCCACCAACGTCCCTGGATGAGCTGCCGCCTGCAGTAAAGATGAAGCCGCCCAGTACCGCCAGGCAGTGGTGGCTCCGCTGGTCCGGCAGCTTCGTTTCCACCTCCCAGTTTTCAGTTTCACCAGCCAGGCGACAAACGTTGACGCTCAGCTCCTCTCCGAACTCCGAAACCTTGAGAAGTAAAGACGGGAAGAATCCAATGAGCTTCAGCTCCAGATGAGTTTAAAGACTTAACTCAACTTGTGTTGAAGGAGGAAACGACTTTTTCACACCTCACACAACAATCAGCATCTCATGCGTTTGTTGTTGCTGCAGGATTTTAACATTGAGATTACACATAAAAGGAACATTTAATATAGTAGCTGATGCGCTGTCTCGTGTTTTAACTAGTGTTGATCTTAGGTGGGTTTTTTGTGGGATTTGTAGAAATCATTTGTTGGACTGCAAAACTCTGCGTGGCGTGGTGACACTTGGGAGTGGGGAAAGAGGGAAGCTGTTTATGTTCTGGTAGCTCCTAGGTCGGGCGTAACAATATGTCACTGTGACCTTTGACCAATTTCAATAAGTTCACTCTTGGATCCAACTGAACCTTTGTACCAAACTTTGATTCCCTGAAGGTGTTGGTGAGGAATCATGTTCAGAAGGTGGCGGAGGGACAACATGAAAACATAATGTAAAGATGCTGTAAAAATCTGAAATGAAATCCTCTGAACCTCTCCTCCAACCAGCAGCAGCTGCTTCACTCCTCCCCTCAGCCTGGTGCGTCCTGTCTGCAGGAGCGGCTGAGCGCTGGGATTTGCGTGGTACTCAAGAGCTTCCTCCACCAGCGCCTCGCAGCCAGCCTCCCCGGGCAGGAGCGACCTCACCGACGAAAGCACCTGGTTGAGGAGGTCGGCCGCCGGCATCAGAGGGAAGCGGATGTGGGAGAGGAGCTGTGCGGAATGGGCCGTCCGCTTGGGAGTCTGGCTGAGCCACTGCATGGCGGCCTGGAGCAGCGCCTGCTCGCTGTCGTGCTGAACCTGATGATGAAGAAGAGGAGATTAATGATGGAGGCTCCTCTCGCCACTTCTCTTCTCCACCAACACAATGTGTAAAACTCCCGGCACTTAAAGCACCGGCAGCAGTTACCTGGCCACTGGCGAGGTAGGAGCAGAGTTTGTTTAAAGGAATGTTGTGCAGAAAGTCCCGGGTGAAAGAGAGCGTGGCAAAACGTGCGAGAATGAAGCGGTCGATGAAGGTGTCCAGTCGCTCGAGGCTGTAGAACAGAGCCAGTTCCTGCAGGTACAGGTAGTTGTCCTCGCTCACCTCCCCCTCCAGGTACTGACAGCAGAAATCCACGGCTCGCCACACCTGAACAACAGCAAGGAGATGATGAGTGGCGCTGAAGTCTTTCTGCTCACACTGACGTTTGTTCAAGTTTCTGATAAGTGTGAGAAGAAACTACCTGAAACAACAGAAACCATCTTTCACAAACTTTTATTTAATGACTACTTTCATGTCCCATCTGCTAACATGGAGGAGGTTTATGACCTCTACTGCAACCAGCCACCAGGGGGCAATAGAGACGCTTTGGCCTCACTTTTGAGGAGTTGTCATGTCGTTCATCTTGTGTTGTACACGTTAACATGTGCGGAGCAGGAAGTACCTGTAGCAGGTGAGCAGCTTCCAGCACCGAGTCGATGTTCGCTCCGTCCAGTGGCAGCTCTCCAGTGTACAGGAAGTCGACCACTGCCTTCAGGCCGATGCAGGACAACCCAACCAGCTCCACCTGTGGACAGGAGGAGGAGGACGGAGGTCAGGGCGACTTAATATCCTTCATGTAAAATGGGGGCGAGAAATGTTGAACCGGTTGAAAACGAGAGACAAAGAACTCTCTGACTTCACCTCCTCCTGATGCTCCTCCCTCATGCCCAAGGTGAACATGGCGTGGAAGTACGGGCTGGAGATGGCGAGCAGGGCGCGGTGAGCCGGGACCCGCAGGTCACCGGCCACCAGCACCACGTCACAGAAGCGACTGTGCTGCCGCTGCTCGTCAAGGCCTCGCAGCACCTCCGCAGCCTGGTCCGCCCATCGGAACACCTGCAGCACCACAGGACAGATATGAGAACTCTGTGCGTTCACAGGTGAGATAACTATCGTTGTTGTTACCATGGCAACAAACAAAATCACTGCTGTTGGAGCCGCTGCGTTGGGTTTGAATTTTGACTGTTGCAGCAGAAATAGAAAATATTTTTAAAAAATGACTGAAAACTATAATTTTGCTGTTGTGTTGTGATGTCACACACACACACACACACACAGACACACACACACTGACACTGACACACTGACACACACACTGACACTGACACACTGACACACACACACACACACACACACAC